TCTCTCTCTCTCTTTCTCTCTCTCTCTCTCTCTCTCTCGAATTTTATTTGACAGAAGTTTATACCAAAATAATCCTAATTATATTTTAGAGGCTTTAATAGTGAAAATAGGAATAAAACAAAAATAAAAGACATTACAATGCAAACGGATGCTTATTATTTGTTAGACAAGTATTAGACTTTTTCACTTAACTCTCATACAATGAATCTGAGTACTGTATACTGTAATGAATTGGATAACCAAACACATGGAAAACTAGTGTTTCTTTTGATTCAAAGTAAAGTGTAATTAAATTCTTATGGCATTAGGTTTGTGATAGATTTGTGTGGAGTTAGCCATCGATACGCGCTACTAATCTCTTAATTTCTACATGTAATTAAAACTTCTCATTTATTTGCAACAAGCAAAAATAGGTATTGCAATTTAGTTATATAAAGCTTCATTAGCAAAATTGTCAGAAATACTTTCAATAAAATAAAATCGAGACTAACTTCTGGACAGTGGCTATACTTCTGGGCGCCTCGTCGTTATCGTTATCGATATCATCGGATGCGATGTCTGTGCAAAAGGAGGCGACGATATTGTGGTTATTGTTATTATTATTAGAGCCGGGGGTCGGTATGAATCGACTGTCTTTCCTCACTCTATTGGCACTGCCTTTTCACGCAAAGTAATACAAAATAATTAGATTTTGAATTAAAAATTAAAACAAATTTAAATCCAATAAGAAATGACTACAAACTGGCTTTGGGTTCCTCGAGATATACGGGAACTTCCATCGACGGCACCTTATCCTGAGCCTCACCACCCGTTTTGTCGGTTTGCGGTGCGGACACCGTGTATAAGGGATTCACACCACCGATGGTGTATGGGTTGGGAAGGGTCGGCAGGTTTTCAAACTTAGATTTGGATTTCTTGCGCCTTAAGACACTGGCTTTTTTGGCCACTTTGCTGAGTGGTGTGCTCGACATACAGGTGCTCGACGTTCGTAAGCCCTCCACGGTGTGTATCTTCCACGTGGCCATTGAGTTGAAGTGGGGTTCGGCTGAGTGACACCTCCACATGCACTGGTAGGTTGGCATTTATTGGTAAATTAAAATATATCAAGATTAGTTTATTGAAAAATTAAATCTTATATATTAGGTGAGCACCTGTATGAGAGTGGCGGCGGCAGGTATTTGTCTATTAAAATGCTTTTGTCGCTGTTTTTGTTGCACTTTTAAAGCGAATCCTTTGAATAAATTTTTTTTGAAGATTTAGTTAAAATTTAAAAAATTCATATTTTACTATTCATTACCTGAGCCAAGAATTCCCTATCATATGGAATTTACCAAAATCCATGGCACCGGTAGTTAAGCAAATAATTGAGTGTATTAGTCTAGTGAGGATTGTGGCACAGGTAGGTATGACTTACAGCTGGCAGTGCAAAGAATGAGATGGCAAACACTGAGAAACATGAGGCCACGATTTTTCCCATCCAGGCTATTTCATATTTAAATATTAATAAGCATATTCATTTATAAATGTAGTAAAAGCAAACAGTACATACATTTGGGTACTGTATCCCCATATCCAATGGTTGTTACCGTAATCTATTTGATAGGAATTGTGTTATATTAATACAATTGCTATAGGATTGAGTGCTTTGTTATCATTAGTTTGTAAATTATGGTGAATATTGTAAGAATCTGTTGTTTTCCTATCGTATATGAAAACAATTAATTTGTTGCAACTATTTCTGGTTTATGTCACATGTTGTCAAATAAAAAGACAATAAACTAATATAATAGTTTATTAGTATTGATTATGATAAAGTTGTCAACAACCTTTTGGATATACTATTGTCAAAATAAAATTTGTTTTCAATAATAATTTTTACTGTAATGAAAAGCTTATTAATTGTCCTATTTTTCATTATCGGTATATTACAATAATTATAGTATAAACTTATAACGTTAATTGTAAATAAGTTATAAATTATTTAATTCATGTATAAGATATCTACAATAATTGGTAAATTATTTCAAAATTTATCGAATTTGTATGAATTCTTTATAATTTTTTATTATAAACAGAATTCCAAGAATTCTTGACTAACAAGATTATTAATAAAGAAAACTGCTTAACCTTAAACTTAAATAGCAACATTAAAAATATGCTTAATTTAAATAGCATTTTATTATTAACCACACCTCGTATTAAATTTGATTGCAATTTATATTAAAGTTTAAAGTATATTAATAACATAAATTATGTTACATAATACTAAAAATAAATTACAATTTCTAATCAATTAATAGTATCGAGACGTGACTTACGACTCCCCACCACAAGGCATCGGCATAGCTCTGGAAGTCAGACTTGGCTTTACCGGGTCTGCCATCGGACTGAATCACAACCTCATCCTTTTCGGCCAAATACATGAAATACGAGGAGAATATAAGCCCCAAAAAGCCTATATATAGTGTTGTAATCAACTCCTGTAACGCAAATGAATGTCACGAATGATAAATCAATGTAAGTATCAGTGATAGAGAAATTGCTATTTAAAAATTAAAATATCTCCCTATCCATTATCATTACGGCTAGCCGTACCTGTCTGTGCACAAACACTACGGAGCCCAGTAATCTCCAGGTGCCGCCCTGCCTGTCCACGTGAAGCATTCGCAGAATTTGCAAGAATCGGATTCCTCTATAGTTTAGAAAAATTAAATGTAAAATGTTTTACTGAAATTAATTTCAATCAAATTTCCCATAAAATCACTACAGTTTTGGCAAAATTACTATAAATAGAGATTTAAACTAAGAATCAAATGTTTTCTCAAAATATTTGCACGAATAATGCTTTAAATTAATTAATTTAATGCATATAAAAATTTATTACAATTTATGTACAATTCTTTGGAAATGTGTTCAAAAAGCGTTTACTTTTAATACATGAGATATATTTGTCTGAATTACTGACAACGCCTATGAAATGCTGAATATAATGCAAAATTGAAAGATTTTAGTTTCTCATTAACACAATTAGGAGCTAATGGTTTGAATAAATGTAAAAATATTTATGTTTTGAAATATAGTTTGCATTATGAATACCTATTTTAATTTTTATTTATAATTATGTCATTAAACCACTGGATTGTATGTTATATCCGCTCCAATTGTTTTTCGCATTGAATTCAATATAATTTTTATTTAAAGATTTGATTTTTGTGTAAAGAGTTTATTATTTTTAACATTAACTTTTTAGTTATCTAGAATTAAATTAAATTAAAAGTTTTTATTTGCAAATTATTTTTGAAATATAATGGAGAAAATGCAATTTTCTAGTCAACTAAAGGTTTGTATTAAACATTACTTTCAAATAACTATTTTACTTTAGGCTCTATACTCAAAGTATATTACTTTTTTGATACAAATATCTTTTGAGGACCACTTTTGCACTCAAAAATCTATTTTAAGTTTTATTTTTGATTATTTATCTGTCATGTAAAGTCTGTTATATTAGTATGCATTACATGTGACTATCAATTATACTGCAAACATTAAAATTGATGTTTGCTTTCAAATCCCATTTACAACATTTGGTGCTTTTTTATTGTAGTCATTATAAGCGAGAAAATTGTAAAATAAATATACAATACAAAACACATTTGAATGGCAATGCATTCATGAATTTGTTTTAAAGAGTTGACACAATTGGGACTAATTTCGAGTTATATTTATAGCAAAAAATTACTAAAGAATTGTAAAAATATTTTCTAACACTTGCGTTGAAATTGAAATTTCGTTTTTACATTCATATATCGATTTATGCGTCAATCGATTGTAACAATTTTTCGCACCCAATAAGTGAATCGGGGATTGAAAATGAAGTTAAAGTTATATTTGCGATACATTTCTTAAAATATGTGGAAAATCTAATAAAAAGCACTTTCAATGTTGCCATACATTGAATACCCAGCAAAATATACTTTTACTATATTTGGTACTAAAAATAAGAGATGATAAGTACCTGATGGCAGACGTGGCGAATACCTGTCCATTAGAGCCGACAGCTATCACCACAATAGAGGCCACAACTACTATAAGGTCTGCAAATATAGATAAGAAAAATAATTTTGTTGTGTTTTTTGGGTAACATTTTTATACCAATGACTGAAATGGGTTTCCGTGCAAACCGGAGTCGACCCCAGAATCCCATATACTTTGATCGACAGCCGGCGGCCCACAGTCTCACCCCATACTCTATGCCAAAGAATATGACCAAAACGGCTTCCTATGGGGTTTATAGCAAAATAACGTTATGTAACAATTATTTCATGTAAATTTTAAGTGGTTTATTTAATAACTATTGATGTTTACAATTTTTAATGCGTCAGAAAATAAGTGGAAAATATTAAATGTTTAAAAAAAAGTTTTTAAAACTCTTTGAATCTTAAGCTCTATTTAATACATAGTGAGCTATGTTTACATTATAAATGTAATGGCAAATATTTATGTAAAAATCTATTCATAATTCTATAAGAAAATTAATTTTTTATATGGACATTATAATAGAGAATCGGGTTTTATAGGGCTATAATTATTTTGTATAATAAAGGATTGCATTAATGTGTTTTACTAATTGCTAATTTGATATAATTTAATATTTAGTCAATAATACAAATCGATTTATATTGGAAAAATAACAAGTATATTAAATAGGAACTTATTGATTTGCTTATGAATTATTAATAATAAAGTTATATATAAATGAATATACAGTATCATATGATTTGCAAAACAATTATAAAGATTTATTATATTAGTTAATAAGTACTTATAGCTCTCAATAGCTCTCAATGTCTTATTAATTAAATTGATATTTTAATAAAAATTATTAATTAAGTTTATTGATTAAGATAATCAGTTAATTTTGTGTAATGCATTAGTATCTGTTTAGTATTTTTGCTAGTACAATATTTCTATAATATTTTGCTCTAAAATAAAATCATTTTAAATAAAAAGTGATTTTATTTACCTTTAAAACTCAAACAAAAATATTTATATCAATTTAAAAAAGTTTGGACAGTATTTTAAAGCTAGAAAGCAAATCAAAATATTAAATAAATGTTTAATAACATGGAAAATCGTAAGTCGACTACAAATTCAAATATTGTCGACAAACAAGGGATTTATCCGCAGAATTTGTAGTAGTTTTCAAAAATCAGTGCAAACTTTGTCTATAGTTTACAAAATTCATTGCATAAATAAATTAAACGAAACAAAATCTAAAGTCGATATATTCAGGGCACAAGTAATCCATGACCCCTTTAATAATTGACGTGCAAAACGGGGAATTCATATAAATTAAAGGGTATACCATCCAGAATAGAGTTCCCATCGCGAAGTTGGAGTACTGTTCAATAGTTGATAAGACACTGAATATGAGACAAACCAATACGACTAGAAATCTAAAGCATAGCCAAAAAAGTATCATGTGTTAGATATCAGACATATACACAAAAACATTATAGATATTTATAAATAATAAAATAAAATCCATTTTAGCTAGTAAAATATAGATTTGAGTAAAAATATCAATATATAGTCATTTACACTGAGAAGTGATAAACAAAACACCGCCAACCGGTGGGTCTCTCTAGAAAGTTATACACCCGGCCCTGAAATGTCATTTTCACACTTTTGCGACCCTCGCCCGTATACCTGGCCTCCCATGACCTGCGAAACAATAGGGCAATTAGTATGTAAATTATATTTTAAAGAATATTCTGTAATAAATCCAAATTCTGGATTAAAGAATCGCAAACCTATCTACAAACCTATCAAATGCTTGCACAGGTATGCCGTAGTATTGTTCGGGCGGCTGTCCCCCGGTGTCGGGATTAGCCGAGGTGTCGGTGCCCTCCAGTAACGGTGCATTTGCGTCCTCAGTGACTGAGTTGGGGACTGAGTTGTTGCGGACGGACAGGTCGACTAATTTGATGCCATAGTTAGGCTTCAGTTTGTTGTCCGTGTAGTCATCGATGTCTGTGTGAAGTGTTGTGTTCGTAGAGATCGCTGAACTGTTGGCCACAAACGAGGGATACATTTGTTTGGATTTATTAGCGTATGATTTGTAGTAAACCGCGGCTCATATTAATAAATGCTTGAGACCTAGAGAATTTATAAATGTATTTTGTAGTGAATTATTTTATGTTGGATTTATTAGCATTGATATTTGTATGCAATGTTTAAATTTTTTTTATTAAAATTATAAGCTATGATTTTATCTCAAATATAAAAAGTATGTATGCATAAAGAATTAAGTGTACATTGTAAAATAAAAATACAATACTGACAATATAAATATAGCAGTAAATAGAAATTAAATTTTTATTAAAATTTATGAATATAAAGAATTAAAACAAAACTTAGTTATAACAATACAACTACGGAATATTCTGTAATACTTATGTATAAATTAACTAAACCGGGTGTTTGAGTGTCTCACTGTTGTAGACATAGTGTTACACAATATGTTAACGTGAACATTACTTTACACTTCAAATAGTGTGATATTTGTATAAAGAGATGCTGCAAATTATATACAAACTGGTAAACAAGTGAACCAAAACTACAGTAAATCATGAGTCTCTTAAAACATGAGAAATGCTCAAAACATAGCATCTTATGGGCAATACTCGTTGAAATCATCTGAGGGGAACGGTAGTGTAGAGGAAATAGAGATAGAAAATATTAAAATTTAATATAACATTAAAAACATAAGAAGAGCATACATGTGACACTCAACTCAAATGCAATCAATTATTGTATTAATTTGATATAAATGTCCATCAAATTCTGACCAAAAGTCTAAGAAGTATGTTACTTACAGTATGTCCTATGGACTGACCACAAACCACTTAAACAGATACTTTACTATTACAAGCACAGCCTACTAACTATACCAACACATATGAATTGTAATATCTGTATTATATTTAAAAAAATTTAATTCATTGAATGTAAATTATTTGATAAAATTAATTAAGCGTGTGTTAAAATTCAATTATGCTTAAAAGCATTATATTTAGTATAGCACGCTTTAAGGTAATTTACTTTGAATTTAAATAATAAACTAAATAATCTATTGAAGAGATTATATTCAGTGTGATATTTAAAATTTTCAAAAGTTTAATATATAGCAATTAAAATAAATTTACTAATGATAAATTTTAAACAACAAAAATATTTTGTAAATTAATGTAAATAAATGCCAATTATATTTAGAAATATTTAGTTGACACAGAATCAATGTCAATTCTAAACCACAATTTCTATTATACAAATACTGTATAATATAAAATTAATATTTTATCAAAATAATTAATAAACACCTAAAGGTATATATGATATGATAATATATTATAATGTCAGTCATGTGTCTCACGACTGTCGAGAATAATTCAGATTTAATTTATAAATATAAATAAACTAATGAATGAATTATATGATATTATAGTGTATAATAAGAATTTATGAATAGTTTTGAATTTGTGTGTGTTTTGAATTCATTATTCATACGGTTTAGGCGTTAAAAAGTGAAATGTATTCATCAAAAAGTATAACTATAATATATTTTGAAGTTTGAAATTAGCTCTCAGGCAATACACTATCGATATAATGAGAGTTGAATTTATGTTGTTGCTTTAAAGTTTAAACAAATATCAAGTAAACATTTCCATATAATTCTTATTTTAAAATTTAATAACGTATACTGGATTAGAAACTATTCTTTACTTTTTAATGTTTTATTAGTTTTGTGATGAAAATCTCATTAAATATTTTTTAAAGATAATCAAGGATATAGTCTTAACTTTTAAGACTCTTAAGAATTATATGCTAAAATACATTAAACTTTGAATTTTAACTTATAAGAATTTTGCAATGAATAAGTAAATCATAGAATCCATAATGAAATATAAATTTTACACAAAAATATTAAAATACAAATTAATATTTTTTGTTAAACAAGAATGAAAGACTAAATACTATTATTCTTTCATAAATAGTGTATTAATGTAATGTTAATTAAAAAACTAAACAGCATATTAACTCATTTGTGTGAAAACTACTATTTTAGCTATTGAATAGACAATTATATTGAATAAAATAATTATTTTATAAGTGAAATCAATTAGCAAAACAATAAAATGTTTGAATGTCATGTACAGTACAATAATCTGATATAACATATATGCTCATATTTATAGCAATAATTTTTAATTAAGTGCATTATGATATTAAATTTATACACAATAATAGTTATTTTTATATTTACTATTATTTTGATTTTTGTAAAAAATAAACTAGAATTTGGAAAAAAAATTTCATAGCTTAACACTGAATGGAAATGAATACGAAAAAATTAAATTTAATTTAAATTTAATCGCAAAAAAAAGTTTTGAGTATAAAGTAAATGAAAACGATTCGCCAAAAGCTATTTAAAACTCATTCACTTCTCGCAAAAAGTGATTGCAGTCTTCATAACACAGTCTTATAGTTAGGATTGCATTTAATTTGACATAATATGAGATGACTTTTCATATATAAATAGAAACTCAATAATGAGAAACACAAAAGCCGTGTATTGTATGTCAGTTGTGATCATAATATCCACTAAAACACTACAATAAAGAGTACAGAATATTCTTTATGACTCCTTATTCATGAATATTCTATTCATTTAAATCAAATATAGATATTGCATTAATCTAAGGGAAATCTTTTTGTTTTTAGATACAGTATTAAGGTTTTTGGTAAAATGCATATTTCAAGAGATTTATATAATATTTTGCATGAATATTAGAATAGATTTTTAAATTAATAACTACAGTACTAAATATAAAATACTATATACTTGCTATTAATTAGCAAATTATTAAAGATTGAGATTAAATATATTTATTCTTATGATTTTCATTTATAGGAAGCGATTAAAGGGATATTAATGACAGAAATATACAGTTATTTTGTGAATAGAAATAAACATTTTGTGGTATTAGTGCGAGTTTAATGAAGTAAAACAAAATCCTGATGTCATATGTGGTACAAATGTAGACAAACCTTTTACGCCATATCAAACTTATTTTATTTTATATAATGTTTATACAGTATCTAGTATTATATTTATTTATATCTTATATAAGTTTATATATAATGCTAGAAATGATACTATCGTATGACTTAAGTCTTATATAAATCTGAAAATATTTGAAGCATTTTAAGAAATAAATTGAAATTATTTACTTAATTATATTTTATAGCACTAAATAAATATAGTGAATACCTTTTGAATGAACATACAGCATAATAATTAATTTAGAGTAACATATTTAGCACTGAAAAATCACTGTAAATATGATATAAAAATTAAAATGAAATTCTTTGCCTTTCTATGCATTATAATATGTTTTATTTCGCATTTATTAAAACAGTATATTTAGAAAACTAATCAAAAAATTGAGAGAAAGAAATGTAGAAAATGTTATAATTGTGAAATCAAATAATAAATAAAACATCATGTTTGAATGAATGATTGATTATAATCTTTAGTATAATTTAGTTTTCTCTCCACAAATACAGTGAATTCAATTGAATTCATACATAATGTGTGTTATTTGTATGCAAACCTTATGTAATGTCTCATTTATATCTCATATGAATTACTCATTCATTTGTTGGTTGAGATGAAATAATGGTTGAAAAATCACTACAAGAATATTCTTTGAGTTTTTATGTATTAGATAACAACAAAGGTATTTGATTTCAAACAAGCATAGTCTCTCTCTCTCTCTCTCTCTCTCTCTCTCTCTCTCTCTCAAACAAGTGAATAGTTTTCAACATTTGAATGAAAGGTATTTTCAGCAAATTTTTACAGACAATACCAGTGCTCTATACAAATGTCATTGAATATTATGTTTGACAAAAGCATACAAAGTTTTATTACAAACCCTTTTATTTAATTGAAGTAAACATTAACAATGAATTATAACATATAAAATATGAGATTATTTTCCATTAACGCATTTTTTATACAAAACTTAAACCAGAAAATACTTTTACAGACAATATATAATAAATCTGATAATAATTTATTGCGGCCAAAATTCACTTAATATTTAATCAATAACTGTATTGTATACTGTAGATGACAAATGAATGGCTTTCCCATACAGGAGTGCATAATATATAACATACATAAGTATTTGTCACACATCTGTTGCTTATTACTATTGTACAGAATATTATGGATTGAATTCTGTATTGCATTAACAATAGCAGTGAAAGTGATTGAATGAAGTCATCGGAAGTGAATATTCATGAATTTATTTACATAGTTCATAGTTTACACAAAGTTTAATCACTTTTAACATGGTTTCGATATAGACTTTGGAAAACTTTGCAATTATTTGAAGCTTTTTGTGATAATTAAGAAATTTTTATATTAAAACCTTTTGTCAAAATTTGTTTTGTCGTAACATAATACGCAATGCACTCACTATTATTTTATAATTTTTAATTTCAATATTAATTTTTGTCATTAAATTTATTTATAAAAATAATTTATATAATTAATAAATAAAACAATTAATTATTTAGAAATGCAATCAGAAAATAATGTATCCAAAAAATACTTTATTTATATAAAAATAAAATTTCTATTTCTACTACTAATCTGTGACTACAAAATGAAATATCAATTTCAAAAATATTAATTAATTAAAATAGTTATTGATTAGGAAAAGGGTATAAAAGTTTTTCTTTTTGATAACTACACATAAAATCTTTATAAAAGCTTTTAAACAATGTTTATGATATTAGCATTAATTATAATTGAAGTAATTTTTTATAAATGCATATTTCGTTTTGTTAACTCAGATATTAATATAAGTTATAGATTATAATTTTGAGTGTAACATAAGTCTAGAGATTATTTTTTATTCGCTTTTTAATAATCCATATATTAATATACATTTAGTTAATCCTTTTAATAAACAAATAAATTATGTTTTTCTGAGAATACATTAAAACTCATTACACAATACA